CCCGTAGACAGTGTGGGGCCCTGGTCCGTCCCCACCCGCCTAGCTTGGCCTGGCTCAGCCCAGGGCCAGCCGCGAGGGCCTTGCAGCCTCGTGTTTAACCCTCTCCTGTCCTTGGCTCTACAGCACAGGACCAGACCTGGCCAGGAGTGGTAGGGGTGCCTGCAGGTATGTACATCCCGCCCAGGGCCCAGGAGCTGCCAGGGTCTGACCCCAAGCTGGCGGGGGGGGTTCCCTCCTGGCAGTCCCATGCTTAGCTTGAGTCTGTAAAGTTCTCGGTCCCAGGTTCAGAGCCCCAGCTGTGTAATGGGCTTGTCCCCCAGGCCCTCGGGGACAAGAGTTTTGGGGGCATGGGCTGAGCCACACCTGAGAAGTTTGGGGTCACATCTGCAAGCAGAACGCCTGGTTTCAGAGTCACACACAGGAGGCCCCAGCTCTGCACTGTCCTCGCGGGTGTCCCATCCTGGAAGTCACAGGTGGCCAGGCCAGTGCTGTGACTGCACCTGGCCTGTGAGGGTTGCTGTTGTCCCACCTGCTACCCTTGGCTCTGGGAGGCCAGGCGACACCCTGCCACCTCCCCGACCACCGTCCCGGCTCTGGCGGCCGTCCAACCCACTGCCCACTTCTTCCCCTGCAGACCATGGCGCTGGGCAGCCCAGCAGGCGGCAGGCAGTATTTGGCGTCGTCACAGCCATCGACCTGCTCAACTTCATAGCCTCCCGGGAGCACGACCACCAATGACCCGCCCCCATGCCTTCACTCCCTGCCTGGCCCGTGGTCTGACGCTCTAGGCCTTGTCTTGCTTATACTAACACTCAGCCGTCCAGTCCAGATGAATCTATCTATGGCTTCTGGATTAAAGATTTTCTTTAAAATAACTTGTGCCGTCTCTGAGGAACTGTTCCTGGCGGGGTGGGGAGCAGGTGCCGGGGACGAGGGAACTGGGGAGCACATCCAGGCTCGGTAGACTGGGTCACCAGTGTGGTGGCATGCGAGGTTCCCACCTGGGCCAGGCCAGTTTTCCCACCCTCCGGCCACCTGGAGACTACTTTCTGTCTGGGCACTCTGGGTCCCTCAGCCCATGCCTCCCATGTCTGGCCTCCCGCCCTGCACAACACTGGGCCGACAAGTGGCAGCACAGTGGGTCTCTGTGGCTGAATCCCACCCACTGCCCGGGAATGCCGGGCCCCGCCCACTCCCCATAACTCCTGTGACACCGGCATCTTGAAGGGTTCATGGAAAATGCAACTGGTGTTGGGCCCAGCATGGTGACCTAGTGGCTAAGGTCCTCGGCTTGAAACCGCCGGGATCCCATATGGGCACCAGTTCTAATGCCAGCAGCTCCGCTGCCCATCCAGCTCCCTGCCTGTACCCTGGGAAAGCAGTCCAGGCCGGCCCAAAGCCTTGGGACCCTGCACCGCGTGACAGACCTGGAAGAAGTTCCTGGCTCCTGCCTTCAGATTGGCACAGTGCCAGCCATTGTCACGTGGGAGAGTGCACTATCGGACAGAAGATCTTCCTCTGTCTCTCCTCCTCTCTGTATATCTGACTTTATGATTTTAAAAAAAAATGTTTAAAAAGAAAAGAAAATGTAACTGGTGTCATCAGCAGGGACCCAAGATGCCCCGGCTTGCTTCCGGCTTGCTTCCGGCTTGCTTCTGGCTTGCTTCTGGCTTGCTTCTCGGCCATTCTGCACACATGGCTCCTACCTCATGTCCCATGGTGGCTGTGTGAGCACCAGCCTTTGCATCCAGCGGGAAGGGCGGCAAGGGAACACTGAGTGCCCACAGGTGAATTGGAAAACGCTAGATAGGCACGGCCAGACATGGGTATGTCATGGGCACTGGGCACCCAGCACATGGGCAGTGGGTGCTGCGCTTCCTGTCCTGCTAAAACCCCAGGGAAAGGAGGGCCGGCTGGGGTGCAGCCCCTCCTCTGGCCTGGGAGACCCTGACCATGGCACTCCCGTGCACACGCCGTGGCATCCCCGTGCAGCAGACTTGGGCCCGGCCTCAGCAGGAAGGGCTGCCCAGGAGTGAGCTGTAGAGACCAGCCACTGTGCAGGGCCGCTCCCGAGAGGTGTCCAGAGGGCAGGGGGTGACAGGGTCCTGCGTGGAGTGGGGATAGGCAGCTCTGGAGATGGTTGCACGCTGGGCTGGTTCTCCAGTGTCGGGCCTGCCTGTGTCCCATGGGGACCTGTGTCATGGGACTCCAGCTGGGTGTCTGGGTTTGCATCTGGGTCCAGCTTCCGTTTGTAGCTTCTTGCTGTTCTGCACCATGGTAGGCGGCAGGTGGTGGCCCCACTGGTTGGTTGGTCCCCAGCCACTCCCGTGGGGGACCTGGGTGGAGTTCTGGGCTCCTGACTCTGGCCTGGCCCATGGAGGCCTGTGGGGAGTGGACCTGTGGCCAGAGGTCTCTGTATTTCTGCCTCTCAGATGAATGGGGTCGCTATGCATGACCTGGGGGAAGCCTGCCAGCCATCAGTGAGACTCCTGCTGGTGCTCCATTTCCCATGCTGGACCTCTGGTGGCTTGCACCTGCTGCCCTGGCCTTGAGGGACACCCGTTCCTACTGCCGGCCTGCAGAGACCTGGCCGGCATCAGGTTCCCTGGGCACCAACTCTGCATCACGCGTGGGCGCAGTCAGTGCCCAGCGCCTTCTCTTATTGGCTTAGAAATGCTGGCTGAGCAACTGTCACACCAACAGTTAGAAAGACATGTCACCTGCTCAGTGGACAAATGGCTGCCTAGCTGGGACACCACTGGACAGGGCTGACCCAGGAGCTCCTTAGGGACTCAGCCCCAGAACCACGTGCAGCCCCAGCAAAGCTTGTGTGGAGGCAGAGCCAGCCAAAAGGACCTGGGAAATGGGGGCAGAGGGGAAGAAGGCAGGTGTCTCCCAAGGATCAACCGGGCAGAGGTCTTCAGGTGGCCCAGCATGGTGGAGGCAACAGGCTCACCCCCAGGCGGGCACAGCCATGCAGACCTGGGTCAGCCTCACACAGGCGGGCACAGCCACGCAGACCTGGGTCAGCCTCACACAGGCGGGCACAGCCACACAGACCTGGGTCAGCCTCACACAGGCGGGCACAGCCACGCAGACCTGGGTCAGCCTCACACAGGCGGGCACAGCCACGCAGACCTGGGTCAGTCTCTGTAGCAGCATCCTAAGCAAGGCCCCTAAGTGCTGCCCACGCATCAGCACTGGGAGCCAGAGTCTGCTTTCCACCGTGCCGGAGGGGAGAGCTCTGCGTCTGGGCAAGAAGCACGTGGGCTGGGCTGCCTGTGCCTGGCTCTCTGTCGGCCCCTGGGCTGCCATCCAACACAGACACTGGGAGCCCAGATGAGCATGCTTTAAGCAGTGGCATGTCCTGGCACCTTGTCCAGGGTAGGTGGTAAGGAAGTTAACTTGGCATCAAGAGCAGGGAGGAGCCTGTAGCCTGAGGTCCACAGGGCACAGGGCACAGAGATCCTCGCTGCCCCTGGAGACTGCTCACCACCCAGGACCAGGACCAGCAGGCAGAGGCCTTGAACCTGACTCCACTCGGTACCCGGACCGCAGAGGATTCCTTGGCTCCACTCCCATTTCTGTTCAGCTCATAGCCCTGAGATGGGACCCCTCTCATCGCATACATTCCTACAACCCAGCCAGGTTTCTTGACCATGCGGGCCTCAGCGCCCTTGCGGGCTGGCACCCTGCGGGCCTTCCCAAAAGTGTGTCCTCAGCCTCCATGGGCTGGGAGGGTCTGGCATGTTCCCGCTGCCCCTTGCCTCACACAGTCCTGGTTCAAGGTCTCCTACCTGTGACCATCAGCATGCGGAGGGCATCTGAGGCCCTGACCTCAGGCAAGGAGGAAGGTGGCTCATCCAGTCACCCAGAGGCAGGGACCCTCGGGGGCCACTGCTGGAGGAGGCTGAAGCCAGACACACCCCAGTCTGCCATGGCAGGGCCCGTTTCACTCTGGTGGCCCTAGCATTCTACAAGGCAGCCAGCATCCTATCAAAGAAACCACCTCCATGCTGGGGACAAAGCCACCATAGACCCAGAGCAGGGCTGCCTGGTGTGGCACCTTCCCCAGAAGTCCCTGCCACCAAGGGGCCCACAGGGCTCTCCCTGGGGCCTCCACCATGCCCGGGGCCGCAGGGGAGCTTGTGGAGCCCAGCATGACAGTATTGACCTTCCGCGACACACTCACTTCATTTGGCACTGCCTGGCACTCTCCAGATGCCCGTGCCAGGTCCCTGTATTCCTCCCAACTGGGCATAGATACTCACTGCCCCTACACACAGGGCCACAGCTCTGACCACTGCCTGCCAGCTGGGTCCATCCCCTGTGCTCCCTGGCTGCAGCTACACACCCCTGCTACCCCCTCTGCCTGACCTGACTCCCTCCCTCTCCTCCCCAGAGTGGCAGAGCCCAGCTCCCACACTGTGGCTGCTCAGGCCTCCTCCCATTAGGTCAGCCCCATCCCAAGGCTTCCCAGCAGCAGCCCGTGCAGCCGCCCCTTCCTGCAGCCCTGGCCCGTCCAGCTAGGCCTCTCGCTCTGATGGAAGAAGCCGTGGTGTCGAGAACTGGGGTCTCCGTAACACACACGGGCAGCAGCCTGGTTGGTGAAGTCCCTCAGAATCACCCCTCACCTGTCACGTTCTCCCTCAGCAGTGCTCCCTGCCACACAGCCCCAGACCTGCTTCCCCGAGCACTCCGCAGCCCCATGCCTGTGAGTGCAGATCCCCACGCCAGGCCTCCAGCACGGGGCCCTGCCTGCCTACCCAGGGCCCACTCGTGGGGATGTGAGTTGAGCTGAAGGTCCCAGGCGAGGCCACCTCTTACAGCCACACAGCAGGCAGGCTTCATGGTGACACACACCATGCAGCAATCAGACACACATGGGGCATGTTTACGTTTTTTAATGTTTCTGATTTGATAAATCAATTGCTTCGCAAAAATCCTTTTAAAGACAACAATCCAAGAAACATATTGTTACAGTATTCACATTTTAAAGATTGTCAGTTTCAAACACCAAATGTGAGGCCGTCAGTGGGAGATCGCTGTCTTACATCTCCGTCAGAGGGCCTAGCGCTGGCCATGCCCCCAGCGGTGCTCCGTGGCTGCTCCTGGGCGTGATGGGGCCCTCCGCTGGCCACATGCAATGCCCCAGCATGCTGGCTTGTAAGGAGTTACCCAGCATTCTGGGTAAGCACATCTACACATCTGACTATGTCGAACTGGACCACGGGGGCAGAGTCAGCCGCTGCCAGGGTCCACCTGTCCACCTGCTTGGCTGCCACGCACCGATCCAGGCCTCAAGACACACCCACAGGGGCCCTTTGTAAGGAAGAACAGAGCGGGGACACAGCAGGGGCAGGTGGCAGGAGCTGTCACCAGCGACCACCGCAACCAGAGCAGCTCTGGTGCCCATGGGAGGGGAGAGGGGCACAGGAAACCCAGGCCGATCCCTCAGCTCTGGCTTTCCAAACCTGCTTCATCCTGCCAGAAGTCAGCACGTGTGCCCAGGAGAGCCGGGCTCAGCCGGGGAGCGGCCCCTGTGCAGGTGCTGGCATCTCGGGTCAACACGGACAGGACAGCGGCCCAGGCAGGAGGGGGAGGGATGAGAAGTGCCAGCAAATGGAAGTAAAATGGGAGGAATACAGCTTAAGTCATCTTTTAGTTTTGTCTAGACCTGACTTAAAATGTTAAAACCTACTCATAAATAAGGAATCCAATGGCTGCGGAGAAAGGCGGCTTGCCCTGACAGGAGGTGCTGTCGCCACCTGCCCTGGGTTGACCTCCGGAGCTGCTGGACGGCTCTGCGCTTCTCACTGACTTCTAAGTCAATCAGGAAACGTTCTGCTCTTCAACCGACTGACTTAAATCAGCACTTACTTCTTCGAGGAAAAAGTTCCAGCAAAAAGCAGATCTACACCAGCTGAAACAGTCACTCACCCACAGCGCACACCTGGCTCTGCAGGTGGCCCCACGCTGAGTCGCAGCACAGGACCAGCTCGCCTCCTGACCGCCCCACACGGGGCAGCCCACGGGGATGACACACAACCGAAGCTATTCCTGGGGCTTGTCTTCGTCCCTCGATGGTCTCCAGCCTCAGTGGTCCAGGGCGGCGGGGGCGGCAAGGCGATGGAGGCTTCGCAAGGTGAGAAGCCCAGGGCTGGGGGTGCACGCCGGCCCCCGCCACCCTGGTGTGCCCCCGAGACAGCCTGTGGCCTGCTGCCACTGCCACCCTGGCTCTGAACCAATGGGGAGAAGCGTGTCACACTAGTTTACAACAAACATCTTATGCATAACATACGGTGACTAAAAAAAAGTTCTAGAACAATACAGTTAATGTGGTGAAGGAACCGTAAGTGGTCGGGCCACACAGGCCAGGGCCAGCTCCGAGGAGAGCTTGCAGCGCAGCCCCGGCGGCTGTCCCCCTCGCTCACCCGGGGCCCGGCCTGGGACGCCGCCTGCACGGCACACACAGCGAGCCTGCAGAGCCCACGGCGCCGACCACGCGAGCTGCCGGCCGGGCCCAGGGTGGCCGTCTGAGGGCGGCGCTCCGCGGGCTGCTGAGTCCCCACGCTCCAACAGGAAGAGGGAGCATGGACGGGGTCATCTCTAGAAATTTCATCCTCAATATAGTCATAATCCAATTCATAATGAATTTATAAAAATAGCTTTTTATCCAATAATTCCAGCAAGGTAAAAATAGGAGTTTCTTTTTTATATATATAGCAAACCAAACAGGCTCCCTGGAGGCGAGGGCACCCCAGCTTGGTGGAGCTGCTAGCCACGCACCGGGGCACCAGGCAGTCTGTGCTGGTGTTGCCATCGCCTCACACGGGCAATGCCGGCTGCAGAAGCTTCGAGCAGAACGGGGGCCACCTGCCCCAGCCTGCGGGGCCTGCAGCAAGCCGCAGCCCAGAGCTCAGGCCGCACCACCTTAGGCAAAGCAGCAGCACTGTTTCCTAATCAGGTCGGGGACGACTCGGTCGGGGGCCACTCGGTACGTTCGTGCCAGGGACCACTTTAAAAACCCACACGCACACCCCGAGGAAGCTGCTGCACGGGCTGTGCGCTCCCTGGGCTCACTAGGAAATACAAAAGTGCACTCTTCTATAGCTACATATAAAACATTAGAAATAAACTGTAAGGTGTTTGCTGTGCAAACCGGAAGTCCTGGAGCAGCCCGTCTAGGGCAGGGGGCCGCTGTTGTCAAGCACCAGCCCTCCGAGGTGGCCTGCGGCCAGCGCGCCCCCGTCCTCCTCGGCGCTGTCCACTGACTCGTCCTCGCTCTGCCCCGCCATCAGCACCTGCTGCACGGCGAGGGTGGCCCCGTCAGAAGAAAGTGACTGCAGGCTGTCCACGTTCATGTTCACAGGCGTGGTAATGGTCACAACGGCTCCTGCGGCACAGCACCGGGCACGGCCTCAGTCAGGGCGCCGCCTCCGCTCCAGGGACCCGTGTTTGTCCTCCCCGGAGACCAGAGCCTGGCTCTGCCCGGGCCGATCGAGAACCCAGATAAACACACGCCAAGAGTGAGCGGGTGAGGGGATGAGGAGGAGGAGGAGAGGCAGAGGGAGGCGGGAACCACGCACTGGGGGGTGTGCCTGTCCCCACCCCACAGGCTAACACTGAGGCCGCAGGTCACCCGACAGTACCCCCAGACCCAGATGGGAGGTGTGGCCTGGGGACTGCTGAGCTGGCCCAACCAAGGAGCCTACAAGACAGACCAGCAAGTGTGGCAGATGTGGCGGGGGGGTTGTGGCATGCTGGGGCAGACTGATCGGGGAGATGGACTCCCGGGTTCCGGGGTCACATCAGACTAAGGGGTACTGGGGTACATGTGGGAGGCAGAATGAGGGATGTGGAGAAGCCAGGACGGAGGTAAGATGTGCCTTCCACTGGCCATGCGTGTCTGTCATTCAACTCCCAGCTGGCACCTTCTCCGAGAGGAAGACAGAAAAGGGAACACCTAACTAACGTTCAGATTAAAAGGCGAAAGAAACACGAGGGGCCAGTGTTGTGGCACAGCATGTTAGGCCTCTGCCCATGGTGACCCGCTTCCAACCCAGCTCCCTACTAATGTGCTTGGAAAGGCAGGGGAGGACAGTCCAAGTGCTTGGGGACCCTGAGGACGCTCCTGCCTGTTGGTTTCTGCCTGGCCCACCTGTGGCTACATGGAGAATGAACCAGATGCTTCTCTCTCCATAACTCTACCTTCCAAATAAAACAGATCAATCTGAAACTTGAGCATGAGGTCACCCCAGGTCAAAGGCTGAGCAAGGAGGACACAGCAGTCCTTGGGGACATGACCACAGCTCACAGGAAGCTAAACGGAGACTGGCAGTGTGACCCACAGCCCACACTAACGCAGGACATGCATCGCCACAGCGAGTGTCCCTGCGGCAGCCAGCGGTGCCAGCAGCTGCATGTCCCAGCAGAAGGTCAGGGCCCGCAGTGTCCCGGGCTCCCCCCACCTCCCACAGCCACTGCAGGTTCAGGCCTGTGCTTAAAAGCATGGCCAGCTGACGCAGCACTGCTGTGCACCACCCAGCAAGCTGGGAAGGCCAAGATGCCTGAGGCAGCCCAGGGCACACCTGGGTCCCAAGCCCCGCAGGCTGGCCAGACGGCAGACTCGTGCCCACCTTCCAGAAACAGCCATCGCCGGGGAAAAGCAGGGATGTCCAGCACCGAGCAGGAGGGCAGTCCGACAGCCCCTTGGTGCATCCAGATGCCCCAGGCTGCTTGAGCTCACAGTCGAGGCCAGCCACCCACCCGCCGCTGTGTGTGGCCTAGCCCTCCTACCTTCGGGCATGGCGAGCTCGCTCGGCGGAGGCTGTGCGGCCCCTGACGCGATGGAGTCAGGCCAGAACCTCTGCACCGGCCTGTTCTGGGCAGTTTTCTTCTTGGCCTTGGGGGTCTCTGAGCAACTGGAGTCCAGCATGGGCTGGAGGATCCGCCTTCTGGCGTTGATGAACCTGTGGGGCAGGTGGGGTACACTGGGTCAGAGGGGAGCCACAGGTCCAGAAATGCTGGGTGGGCTGAGAGAGCGTCCCCTCCAGGTGCCTTCTAGAACTGCAGCAGCAGACACGTGCTGCAGGGACCCTGATGCCCCTTGCTGTAGAGCAGGTCAACCCGAAGCAGCAAGACTCCACCAGGCCAAGACTGAGAAGCTGCCTGTGTATGGGTCAAGGCGGGCTGCCATGCGCCGTGACTGCCAGCTCTGGTCCTGGGGCTCCTCCAGGTGGACAGCAGGGACAGCCTCCTGCCCCAGACCATGCACTCAGACGGCTGAGCCGGGTCCCTGAGTCAGCTGAGCCAGGGTCGCTGAGCCGTCCCCACCCCGACACCCTCCCCCTGTCCTGGCCACCAGCATCTCCTGGGCTTGCACCTGTTGTGCGGGCTGATGGCCAGCCCCTGGGCTGTGAGCACGGACGTGAGTGCTGGCACGCAGGCTGGCTTGGCAGTCATATAGGGTTTCCCACCAGATGACAGACCACTCTCTTCAGCCACCAGCTGCTGCCTTCCAACAAGAGGTGCTGAGAGTGGGCGGGTGAGCAGGGGGCAGCGTGTACAAGGGGACCCCAGTCCTCCCAGGCACGGGCTTCCCTTCAGCAGCACTGAGAGATACACGCCCAGCACAGGCTCCTTGCTATGGGACACGTGGCCCCGGAGGAGAGGTAGCCACCACCCCACAGAAGCCTGGCTCCCGTCAGAGCCCACCCGGCACCGGCCAGGACCCTGTGCTCAGCTGGGCCCCTGGGCCTGGCTCAGTAGCAGTGAGAGCCAAGGTGCCAGGCCTCTGGGCCCATGGCACAGTGCCACCTGGTGATGCATGACCTCTGGGCAGCTGAGGGGCTGTGCCCACGAGTCACGGAAAGAACCCCCGACATTCTATATTCTTGTCTGTTCCTTGTGCTGTTACATACTCTTTTTTTTAAATTTTTTTAATTTTTAAAAAGATATTTATTATTTTAATTGGAAAGGCTTATCAGACTTATGTAGAAAAGGAGAGACACAAAGAAACATCCTCTATCCTCTGGTTTACTCCCCAAGTAGCTGGAGCTGAGCTGATCTGAAGGCAGGAGCCAGGGGCCTCTTTCGGGTCTCCCACAAGGGTGCAGGGTCCCAAGGCTTTGGGCCGTCCTCCACTGCTTTCCCAGGAAGTGGAGCAGTTGGGACACGAGCTGGTGCCCATATGGAATGTCAAAACTTGCTAGTGAGGATTTAGCCATGGATCCATGGCGCTGGGCCCACCTGCTCTCACTTAATGCCCTCATCACTGCTCTTGCCCGCAGGTTCTGAGATGAGAGCGCACAGGAGGAGAGGACCCGGGAAGTCCCTGGCACGCCAGAAAAGGCACACGCTACCGACAGCACCCTCAGCTTTGCTGCAAGAGGCAGCTTTGTGATCCTAGGATGAAATACCACAGAAAGTCAAAATAGACACAAAAAGTAAAATATTTTGGAATTTAAGAAGGGAATATATCACTAACGTTAAACTTTAAAAGTAGGGGCTGGCATTGTGGTGTGGCAGGTCATGCTGCTGCCTCCGATGGCTCCAACACAGGCGCTGGTCTGTGTCCTGGCTGCCTGGGCCAAGCAGGGCAGGGGCGTCAGGTCACCTGTGGGCGATCCCGATGCAGCTCCCCGCTCCAGGCTCCGGCTGGCTCAGTCCTGGCTGCTGCAGGAACTAATACATAAAAGATCTTTCTTTGTAACTCCTTCAAATAAACTGATCTTTTACAAAAACTGAAAGTTGAGGTAGACCTTCTAGTAAGATAAGGCTGCCCTGTATACAAAGCAGGAAGAGAGGCAGAGCATGTGGTGGCAATATCGAACCTCCAGGCCTGCCTCTCTCAGCCCTTGGGCGCCTGTAGGCCTGCCTCTCAGCCTGTGGGCACCTGCAGGCCTGCCTCTCTCAGCCCTGGGCGCCTGCAGGCCTGCCTCTCTCAGCCTGTGGGCACCTGCAGGCCTGCCTCTCTCAGCCTGTGGGCGCCTGCAGGCCTGCCTCTCTCAGCCCGTGGGCACCTGCAGGCCTGCCTCTCTCAGCCTGTGGGCGCCTGCAGGCCTGCCTCTCTCAGCCCTGGGCGCCTCCAGGCCTGCCTCTCAGCCTGTGGGCACCTGCAGGCCTGCCTCTCAGCCTGTGGGCACCTGCAGGCCTGCCTCTCTCAGCCTGTGGGCGCCTGCAGGCCTGCCTCTCTCAGCCCTGGGCGCCTCCAGGCCTGCCTCTCTCAGCCCCTGGGCGCCTGCAGGCCTGCCTCTCTCAGCCTGTGGGCACCTGCAGGCCTGCCTCTCTCAGCCTGTGGGCACCTGCAGGCCTGCCTCTCTCAGCCTGTGGGCACCTGCAGGCCTGCCTCTCTCAGCCCCTGGGCGCCTGCAGGCCTGCCTCTCTCAGCCCCTGGGCACCTGCAGGCCTGCCTCTCTCAGCCCCTGGGCACCTGCAGGCCTGCCTCTCTCAGCCCTGGGCACCTGCAGGCCTGCCTCTCTCAGCCCCTGGGCACCTGCAGGCCTGCCTCTCTCAGCCTGTGGGCACCTGCAGGCCTGCCTCTCTCAGCCCCTGGGCACCTGCAGGCCTGCCTCTCTCAGCCTGTGGGCGCCTCCAGGCCTGCCTCTCTCAGCCCCTGGGCGCCTGCAGGCCTGCCTCTCTCAGCCTGTGGGCACCTGCAGGCCTGCCTCTCTCAGCCCCTGGGCACCTGCAGGCCTGCCTCTCTCAGCCTGTGGGCACCTGCAGGCCTGCCTCTCTCAGCCCCTGGGCGCCTGCAGGCCGGGCCTCTCAGCCCTCCCCGGCCAGCCACAGCAAGAGCCTCCTCAAGCCGGGACCACAGGAAAATCACTAAGCAGGCATACTTGGCCACCAACGCCACAATGTCCCTGACACCCTGACACCCTGACACACTTCAGTATGCTGTTTAAAATAGTTACTAGTAAATAATTCACGTAGCATGGCCTACTATTAGCTACCCACGCAAAAAATCACTCAACTGTGAAATCACAGACATCAAAGCTCTCAGGTAACAATCACATCACCAGGAGATTTGGATCATTTTTATCAGGATGTCAATAACTCCATCCTCGGGCGCAGTGTCTGTGAGTGTATAACTGAAGCTGCTTCCTGCATCCCAACACAAGTGAATTAGAACACGCTGAGTGAACTCCTGCGGAACGGAACTGGGCCCCGAACCGAGGGCTGCTCAGAGGACACCTGGCCAGGGTCCCCGGGGTGTGAGGCCCCAGCTGGAGGCAGCTGCTCCCTGATACCCCGGAGCAGCCCCCGCCTCCACACCCACTCCCTTCTCTCCTGCGCCACATCCCAGCCTGTCACAGCGCAGGATCAGCAGCCAGGGGCGAGGGGTCCACCAGGGGCCAGCCTGCCAGCCTGCCTGCCCACCGATGCACATCGCTGTAAATGAGAATGGGGCAGTAGCACAGGAGGGAGCCACTTCTGGCCAGTCAGTGGGTGAGTGGGATGTGGGTGTGAGGGAGTGGCTGGCCACTGACATTCAGGCGGAGGGCACTAGCCCAGCACTGGGTGGCAGAGCGTTGCCAGGCTCCTGGCCGCGACTCCCTCCACGGGCCAGACCGCTCAGCAGCCCAGGGAGCCCGAGCAGTGCTGGCAAGGCCACAGTTGGGGAGGGGCGCGTCTTACCAGTTGTTGACCTGGAGCAGTGTCAGACTGGTCTGAGCGGCGATCTGCTTCTTCTCATCCTCCGTTGGGTAGGGATGCTAAAACACAAAGGAGGGCTGTCAGGGCTGACTGCACGTTACAGAGAGAAGCACAAAATAATTACCGGCAAAAAACAAAACCCAAACCCTGCAGAGGCTCCACAGCGTTCTCCTCCAAAGCCCAACTGGGTGTGGGCGGCCACGAGTGAAGAGCAAGCACTCCTCCTGGCCCCGGAGGCCGCCCGTACTGCAGCTGGGCCGCTGCCCCCAGGCCACCCCGTGTGTGCTGCAGCTGGGCCGCTGCCCCCCCCAGGCCACCCCATACTGCAGCCTGGCCGCTGCCCCGCCAGGCCACCCCGTGTGTGCTGCAGCTGGGCCGCTGCCCCCCAGGCCACCCCGTACTGCAGCCTGGCCGCTGCCCCGCCAGGCCACCCCATACTGCAGCCTGGCCGCTGCCCCGCCAGGCCACCCTGGCGGAGTGTGCTGCAGCTGGCCCGCTGCCCGGGGAGGGTGTCCCTGATGGTGGGAACTGTGGTATGGCACAGTGCAGGTGGGGCTGTGCCAGGGCTGCTACAAGTGCTGTAGACCAGCTCCGCGTGTACCCACAGTGGAGGAGCAGGGCCCCGGGCCCCTGCACAGTCCACGGTCTGTTGGGGTCCGTGCAGTAGATGTGGGGGACATGAGGGGGTGAAGAGTGTTCCATTGCAGGCAGGGCCGCAAGGAACTGCCCGCTGTTTGGCAGGGCCCGCCCAGCGGATGTCTCTACAACCACCTGAATGCAGCTCCACCTTCTTTTGCATGGACACCGGACCACCCTACAGAAGAACTCTAATCCATCCTGGCATTTGCTACTGCGAGGTTAACCTTTTGCTCAGCCTGAGCTTGGAGGTCAATATCTTGCAAAAAGGGCCCTTTATCATTCCTACTGTCTTGGCTGTCCCCATTGAACCTATGCTAATCAAAGGGCCTGTATTTAGGCCTTCATTCTTTCCTCATTCTTTAGACTCCCCTTTTCTTTGTGGTACAAGATTGAGTTGTAGGGTAAGAATCGTAGCAGGAAATTCTAGGTAATGTTAGCAGGAGCTTCTATTGTTTTTAGGTAAAACTAATGGCAGAATTATCCTTAGAAACACCCACTTGGTAAAAAGTCTGAGCCAGAATTTGACTGATTTTGTATAAATAAAGCGGACAGCTTTTGTGCGTGGTCCATTATGATCACAAAGTCCTAGTGGTCCGTCTCTTTCTTTCCTCTTTGCGCCTCATCCACGCACCCTTCGCGAGTTCCGAACTCAGCTGGAGCTGGACTCCGGCAACGGCCGCACCCCTGCACACTCCCAGCGACTCTGAGCCCTTGGAGACAGACTTAGCCAATGCTTTCAGTTTTCCTGGTTTTTAACGTTCATTTATTTTTAATGGAAAAGTAGATTTACAGAAGGAAGGAGAGACAAGAGACAGAGAGAAAGCCATCTATTGGCTTACTCCCCATTCAAAACAACAGAGCTGCGCTGGGCTGAAGCCAGGAGCCAGCAGCTTCCTCTGCGTTTCCCACAGGGGTGCAGGGACCCAAACACTTGAGCCATCTTCCACTGCCTTCCCAGGCCACAAACAGGAGCTAGACAGGAACCAGCACCTCGTGGGGCGCAGCACAGGCAGAGCGTTTGCAAGCTGCCCCTTCCAGAGCCTTTGTCTACCAGCAAGGAGACTGAGGCATTCATGAGTCCTGCTAGACACAGCTGATGGGTGTGTGAGGTGACGGGCGTGTGGAGCTGACGGGCGTGTGAGGTGACGGGCGTGTGGAGCTGACGGGCGTGTGAGGTGACGGGGTGTGAGGTGACAGGTGAATGGAAGTGATAGGCGTGTGAGGTGATGGGGTGTGAAGTGATGGCGTGTGAGGTGACAGGCGTGTGGAGCTGATGGGCGTGTGAGGTGATGGGGTGTGAGGTGACGGGGTGTGAGGTGATGATGGCGTGTAAGGTGACGGGGTGTGAGGTGATGGCGTGTGAGGTGACGGGCGTGTGAGGTGACGGGCGTGTGAGGTAATGGGCGTGTGGAGCTGACAGGCATGTGGAGCTGATGGGCGTGTGAAGTGATGGGTGTGTGAGGTGACGGGCGTGTGAGGTGACGGGTGCGTGGAAGTGATGGGTGTGTGAGGTGATGGCGTGTGAGGTGACGGGCGTGTGAGGTGACGGGTGCGAGGAAGTGATGGGTGTGTGAGGTGACGGGGTGTGAGGGGACGGGCATGTGGAAGTGAGGCACTGCAGGAGGCCCTGAGCTTTCACAGGATTGAGCCTCTGTTGGATTCACCTGTGCTGCCGGGGAAGCACTGGACTGGGGCAGCAGACAGCAGCATTTGTTCCAATTGCCGTTTTATACATGACTGAAAACACTTCAAAAATATAGAGTTCAAGGGCTCGCTGTGAAGCGCAGTAACGAGCTGCTGCCCACACTGCCACCGGGCAGGCCAAGTGGGTGCTGGTTTATGACCTGGCCGCTCCGCTCCCCAACCGGCTCCCTGCTAACATGCCTAGGAAAACAGCACAGGCTGAGCCAAGCGTTCGGGCCCCGACACCCTTGTGCGAGGCCTGGATGGTGTTCCAGGCTCCTAACTTCAGCCTAGCTGGGTTTGGGCCGCTGTAACCATTTGCAGAAGTGAAAAAAGACTCTTTCTCTAATTCTGCCTTCCAAATAAACTAAGCACCCACGGGGAATGATTTCTATCTAGTAATACACAATCTATTTTAGAACCCTTCAAGGCCTTTTGCCACCCCAGGACTGGGTGGTACCTCACTCCTGGCCTCAATCAAGAGCCCAGTGGTAGTCAGGGCAGAGAGCAGGCACTGGATGACAGCGGATCCTTCACCCCTGCAGGGATCGAGCTAACCAAGATAGGGCACTGGGCTCAGGAGCCCCCAGTTAGAGGTGGGAGAGGCCACACCAGCACTGGGCAGGTGCAGGTCTCAGCTGGGCCGGCAGGACCTGGAAGTGCTGAGAAGGGACGGGGTGAGCTCAGGCAGCTCTAGGGGCCAGGGTCCCAGCCACAGGGCAGCGACACAGCTGGGAAGAGGGCTGATCTGGGCCTCTGCGCCAGGAGACCCAGCAGCACCCAGGACTCCAGGCCCTCCTGCCGGGTCCCCAGAGCACCAAGGCCCACCCTGATGTGTCCGCCAAAGGCTGCAGCAGCGGCCCGAGGGCTCCCACTGTGTCCTCCCCGGGCCCCTTGGCCCTGATCACAGGGCAGAGGCTGCTCTGCAAGACCTGCTGGGGATGGGGCACAGCAGTCCTGACTCCACTGTCCTGCAGCTGAGAAGGGGCTGCTCCTGCCAGGAAACAGCAGCATGGGTGCTGGCCATGGACATGGGCTGGACAAGCCCACAAGGACACTCACAGCATCCCCACTTCCCCCTTACTGTGCCGTCCCGTCGAGCATCACAGAGAACCTGGCCCGAGACCCCTCACAGTGGGGCAGACACCAGGAACTGAGCTCCCCCATGCATGGGGGCATGACGAGCCCTGTAGCTGGCCAGGGGAGTGCCCTCTGCAGCCCCTCCTGCCTGTGGGAGTCGGATGCCCGGGGAAGGGGGTCAATTTCTTGGTCAATTTCCACACCTGCACATCTGGCTGCCCTCCCTCCGTGCCCTGCTCAGCCCACTGCAGATACTTAGGCTAAGAGATGACTCTGTGGCTTGGCCCAGGCAGCCCAGCCTGGTCCCATCCCTCGGCGGGGAGCAGCACCCTGGGGTCTTACCCCGATGTGCTGGAAAAGCCAGGAGCGCATGACGTTGGTGGCATGTTTGGGCAGGACACCCCGCTTGTTCTTGGAGGAGCCATCGTCTTGATGCAAGATGCTCAGGTCCTGATTTAACTGCAGCTGGAGCTGTCACAGACAGGAAGCAGTGTCAGTGCCGGAGATGGGGCACCCGACTGCCGCCTCAGATGCCCCACGGCAGACACTCAGGAGCCCAGGATGACTCAGCCGGAAGGGGTCACCCTCTCTTGCCCTTCTACTGGCACGCTGGTGCCTTGTGCTGCCCATGGCACCACCTCGCCGCCAGCACTTCTTGCAGGAAGAAAGCGGTACTCCCTCTTTCAGCCTACAAGCTTTCACGCAAGCAGAGACAGACAGGAAGGCTGCAAGTGCCACCAGCTGGAGAAGATGCAGCAGCTGAAGAGCGGGAGGCCCCAGGGCCAGGACAAAGCCCGTGGCCCCAGCGCACAGTCCCTTGGGGGCACCCCAGACCACAGAGGGAAACGGGTAAGTTACATTCTCTCAATCCAATTTTAAAAGCAAAGGCAGCCAAAACAAAAAAAAATGTGGAGGGGAGGGGAGCTGGTGCTGCTCTGCGGCGAGGCAGGGAAAGCCATCACCATCTGACGTGGGCACCGGTCCAAGTCCAGCTGCACCTTCCCGCTCCCCACTCGTGCACCTGAGGAGCAGGAGACCCACGTGCAAGGCCTGGATGGAGACAGCAACCCCGGGTGCTGCGGTCATGCGGGGAACGGACCAGCAGGAGGAAGATCTTTCTCTGTCCCTCCCTGTCACTCTGCCTTTCAGATAAACTAACAAACCTTAAAAGTATCTGCAAACATCTAAACTGCAGACAGCAACTGAGCCTCATAACCACACACAATTAGGGTCACTAATGTACTTACAATTCCTTCACACTTACAATTGCTACTAAGGGAATAGCTATTTCTATGATTAAAGACCAAGGCCAGCAGCTCCTAAAGCTACCTTATGCAAAGAGCAGGTGCAGTAAATGCTCCAAGCTCAGGGCTGCCGGGCTGGGTAGCCTGTACCCCCGCAGCCCCACCTGCAGCCCTGAGACGGTGACGTCAGCATGGGCAGCTTGGGTCTGTGGCTGAGTCCTTGAGGGCTCCTACAGACCTGAGAGGCACGGCACAAGGACCAGGCTGGCGAGAGGGCCAGCCAGGAACCCCAGCTCCAGATAACCTGAGGACAGGTCCCAAAGCACAGGGAACTGGGCCCAAGTTCCTGGAAGCAGCGAGGCCCCAAACTCCCAGCCACCACCTTAGAGCAGACCTGAAGGTGTGGACTCCATGGCAGCTGGTGTTCAGACTAGCCAAGGGGGAAGGAAAGTCTGTCCATGCGGAACAGGTGCCTGCTGCCCTGGCGCAACGAGCACAGAGGCAGCTGGTGCTCCTGGACCCTGGGCCCGGGGGGACAGTGGACATGGGCTGGGAAGGCCGGAGACCCTCCCAGTGTCCCCACATTCTAGAGCACACGAGCCAGAGAGGCGAGGGAGTGAAGTGTAAGTGGCAGAGGAGGGAAAGCAAAGGCAACCCCAGCCAGCCGTCGCCACAACGGCACCCGTCTGGAAGGCAGAGGGTGGAGGGAGAGTCAGCTCCTCCCTGGCCAGCCCCTGGCAAGGCAGCAGGAAGTGACCAAGTCCTTGGATCCCTGCTAACCACGGGCAGGCCTGGATGGGGTTCCTGGCTCCTGCAGTCAACTGGCGCGGGCTCGGCCAGTGCAGCCTTCGGGGAGGGACTCAGCAAGTGCAAGATTCTCTCTCCCTATCATTCTTCCAAACAAATAAAGCCTCTTTAAAAGGGGGTAAAAACATGCAGAAATTACAGTAATTACGTGAACTGGCAAGAGCCTCGCTCCATTCAGAAGACGAGCAGAGCCGCAGGAAGCGCATGTCCACCTCCAGCAAAAAACACCCTGCTCCCAGGGCCCTGGGCCGAACCCGCCTCCCGAGGGGCTGGAAGCCCAATCCAGTCTGGCTGGCCAGGTGCTCAGCCCAGGCCTAAGATGTGAGTACGTGCCCACAGTGAGCCCACAGGCCTTGTGGCAGCAGTCCTGAGGGCACAGCGCCACCAGGACCGAGGAGAGGCACCCCAGGCAGCAGAGAGCTATGGCCCAAATGACAGGTGCGAATGGATGGCGGGCCATACGGGCACCGCGTGGGGACAGCAGGGCGGCCACACGGGCACCGCGTGGGGACAGCAGGGCGGGCCACACGGGCACCGCGCGGGGACAGCAGGGCAGGCACACGCTCACACGAGGAGGCTGCCCAGCGATGCGAACCACATCCCCTCTAGGCAAAGCACAATGCAGGATACTTTACGGGAAATCCTGTTAAACAACAGGACAAACAAACCTCACTTAAAAAAAATTATTTTTATTGGAAAGGCAGATATACAGAGAGGAGGAGAGACCGAGAGGAAGATCCTCTATCTGTTGACTCACTCCCCAAGTGGCTGCAATGGCTGGAACTGAGCCGGTCCAAAGCCAGGAGCCTAGAGCCTCTTCCGGGTCTCCCACGCACGTGCAGGCTTTGGGCTGTCCTCGACTGGCAACACTGGGACCCATTATGGGAATGCTGGCTTGAGTCTCATCTACCCCACCTCCAACCCAGCTTCTTGCCAATGCACCAGGAAAGGCAGTGGATGAGGGCCTGAGCTCCTGAGGCCTCTGGCTTCAGCCTGGCCCATGGCATATGTGGACAGAGTCCCCGCCTCTGAGGTCGGCCTGGCCCATGGCATATGTGGACAGAGTCCCCGCCTCTGGCTTCAGCCTGGCCCATGGCATATGTGGACAGAGTCCCCGCCTCTGGCTTCAGCCTGGCCCGTGGCATATGTGGACAGAGTCCTCGCCTCTGAGGTCGGCCTGGCCCATGGCATATGTGGACAGAGTCCCCACCTCTGGCTTCAGCCTGGCCCATGGCATATGTGGACAGAGTCCCCGCCTCTGAGGTCGGCCTGGCCCATGGCATATGTGAACAGAGTCCCCGCCTCTGGCTTCAGCCTGGCCCATGGCATATGTGGACAGAGTCCCTGCCTCTGGCTTCAGCCTGGCCTGTCCGTTCCGGAAGTGAGCCAGCTGATGGAAGGCTGATGGGAGCTCTTTCTTTCTCTTGCTCCCTTTGGTGCTTTTAAGATACATAAAAGTACCCGGTGTGGTGGCCTAGTGGCTAAAGTCCTCGCCTTGCACATGCTAGGATCCCATATGGGCATCGGATCTAATCCCGGCAGCCCCACTTCCCATCCAGCTCCCTGCTTCTGGCCCGGGAAAGCAGTTGAGGATGGCCTAAAGCTTTGGGATCCTGCACCCGCGTGGGAAACCCAAGAGGCTCCAGGCTCCTGGCTTCGGATCAGTGAACAGAAGGAAGATCTTCCTCTCTGTCTCTCCTCCTCTTTATATCTCACCTTCCAATAAAAATAAATCTTTAAAATCGACACACGGCCTTTCCTTTTAGTGCAGCCTCGCACCAGGACACTGCACTGCCTTTGCTCACAGACACCAGCTGGGAAAGACCTGGCAAGCAGGGGGAACCACCGAGGCCCTCTCCTCTCTCTGCTCCTGGGCCCTGGGGGGGGGGGGGCACGTGCACAGCCACACCCATGGGGGCCCAGACGCCGGGGAGGTCCCATCAAAGTCCTCGGCCTTGTTGCCCTGCAGCCTGTGGCTCTGCCAGACTCAACCGTGATCAAAGGAGAAAACCACAGGCTGCCCGTGCTCCCCCCAGCCACTCCCCAGCCCCACAGCTGCTCCTGCCTGCCACACTCCCTCCAGCCGCTCCCCAGCCCCACAGCTGCTCCTGCCTGCCACACTCCCTCCAGCCACTCCCCAGCCCCACAGCTGCTCCTGCCTGCCACACTCCCTCCAGCCACTCCCCAGCCCCACAGCTGCTCCTGCCTGCCACACTCCCTCCAGCCGCTCCCCAGCCCCACAGCTGCTCCTGCCTGCCACACTCCCCCAAGCAGCAAATTCCAGTTTGCAGCTGATAACAGCTCAGCAAGACACAGAGAGCCCTCAGGCTGCACATTCCAGTTCAGTCAGTCAAACACCAGTAGCCCAGGACCCAGAGCTGGAGCCAGGGACACAGGACCATCCTGAGGGAGCAGGACAGGGCTTCCAGAGGGACAAGAGACAAGGGATGGTGTGGGCTGTGGTGTGTGTGTGTGAGTGGTCTGGTATGGACTAGGTGTGTAGTGTGTGAGTGGTCTAGGTGTGTTCTAGGTGTGTAACGTGTGAGTGGTCTAGGTGTGTAACGTGTGAGTGTTCTAGGTGTGTAACGTGTGAATGGTCTAGGTGTGGTCTAGGTGTGTAATGTGTGAGTGGTCTAGGTGTGTAACGTGTGAGTGGTCTAGGTGTGTAACATGCGAGTGGTCTAGGTGTGTTCTAGGTGTGTAACGTGCGAATGGTCTAGGTGTGTAACATGTGAGTGGTCTAGATGTGTAATGTGTGAGTGTTCTAGATGTGTAATGTGTGAGTGTTCTAGGTGTGTAACGTGTGAGTGGTCTAGGTGTGTAACGTGTGAGTGTTCTAGGTGTGGTCTAGATGTGTAATGTGTGAGTGTTCTAGGTGTGTAACATGTGAGTGGTCTAGGTGTGTAACGTGTGAGTGGTCTAGGTGTGCTTTATGTGTCTGGTGTGTGTGTGAGTGATGTCTGTATGTGTGGTGTGTCTAGGCAGCCTGTGGCATGTATGAGTGACGTGTGTGTGTGTGGTGTGTCAGTGTAGCGTGTGAGTTACATACATTGTGTGACAAGTGGTGTGCATGTGTGAGTGGTGTAAACTGTGTGTGAAGTATGTGGTATGCATGTGAGTGCCATGTGTTAGTGGGGTCTGTGTACGAATAGTATGTGTATGCAGTGTGTGTGTGCCTCTATGGTACGTGCTCTGTGTGTGGTATGTGTGAGTGGGGTATGCGTGAATAGTATGTGTGGCTATGCAGTATGCAGTGCGTGTGTGTGCTGTGTGTGGCTATGCAGTATGCAGTGTGTGTGAGTGGTGTGTGTGTGTGTATGTGTGTTGTGTGTGGCTATGCAGTATGCAGTGTGAGTGGTGTGTAAGTGTGGCTCTGGAGTGTATGCTGCGTGTGTGGCGTGTGCAGAGGACACACAGGATGAGCGGCAGATGCAGGGAAGCGGACTCCCACGGAGGGTTCCTGCCGGAGAAGGAGGCCAGCTCACGGGCAGCGGGAAGGGGCCCTCTGACCCCCAGCTCTGCATGGACAAGGGGCGGATCAGAGGGCGGCTGCAGCCTGTTCTGCTCGTGTCCCTGAGGGCAGCTCACTCACTCCCACCCTTGCAGGATACACACGTACCTGGGAATTCTGGATCCTAATGGTTCCAGGCGACAGTGCCTGCGTGACCACCTGGCCCTGTGGAGTGACGACCGTGACAGGCTGATAAACCGTGCCGCCTCAAAAGGAGAAGGAGCAAGTTAATCAACTAGCGAGTCTTGGTGAGCTAAACTGCTTTGGCAATCTCGGCGCCCTCACGTACAAGCCAGCCTCCAGCCTGACAACTTCCCAGTCCCCTCAAATGCTCCAGTGCTGTGCCCCGCTCCCACGCAGCACCCCTGGGGGGTGGACGAGGGTGCTGCCAGAGCCTGGCTGCTCCCTAGCTTGCCCCTATTTCCTGCAGTCGGCACCTGTCCCAGGTCTGGCCCAAGATTCAAGGTGAGCCTGGAGCCCAGGCACAAGCCTGTCTTCCGTCCCTGCAGGGCTATCCTGGTGCTGTCGTGACCAGCAGCATTTCCTGCACGTGAGGTCTCCCGCCGACCAGATTCTCTGTAAGCTCCAGAGGAAGGTCCACCGAGTGCTGCCCCGGGACCCAGGCTGTTGTGTCCCTGGGTTGTCACTGTCACTTAATGACACGACTCAGGACCTTCCACGTGCCGGGAAAGCAAGATTGACAACCGAGATACTAGAAAGCACAGCTTTTCTTTTCTCTCTGTATCTTTCTAGAAAACCCTCCTTTTCTTTGCAATTTTTTGGGGGGCATAAAAGTTGCATAAAATGCATGTGAGAATGAATGTGAGAGCACTCACGTGGCTCTGGGCTCTGCTGCTGCTGCAGGCACTGACTGGACACTACCACTTTGACCGCACACGAGCGCATGGAGCAGGGGCCTGCCTCCAGGGGCCTACCTGCCACTGTCGCCATGGTTACGTTCCCCTGCTGCAGGGCGGAGGCGGGCACCACGATGCCTTGAGGGCTGAGGGTCCCCGTGATGGCACTTTGAATCTGCTGGGGGTCAGAACACACATTGAAGGGACAGTCAGAACATGGACACTCAGGGTCACAGTTTAGAACAAGAGGTGGAGATATCCACACTCAGACACACGGGGCAGCCCACACCCGGATGGAGGGAGCCTACATCTGGATGCATGGGGAGCAGCCCACACCTGGATGGGGGGCAGCCCAAACCCAGACGCACGGGGATAGCTCACACCTGAGCAGGAGGGAGTCCACACATGGGTGGGAGGGAGCACGCACCCAGATGGGGAGCAGCCCACACCTGGACGGGAGGGCTTTGGGGCAGCATCATGCAATGGGCAACCCAGGCACAGACACCAACCAGGGATTAAACACAATGGTCACTTCGCTGGGTGGCTTCCAAAAGATTATTTTTCTTTTCTTTTTTAAAAAAATGTATTTATTTGAGGGCCCGGCACGCTAGCATAGCAGCTAAAGTCCTCGCCTTGAACTCACAAGGGTCCCATGTGGGCGCCACTTCTAGTCCCAGCTGCCCTGCTTCCCATCCAGCCCCTGCTTGTGGCCCGGGAAAGCAGTCGAGGATGGACCAAAGCCTTGGGACCCTGCACCCGCATGGGAGACCCAAGAGGCTCCTGGCATCGAATTGGCTCAGCTCCAACTGTTGTGGCCGCTTGGGGAATGAACCATCAGACAGAGGATCTTTCTCTCTGTCTCTCCTCCTCTCCATATATCTGCCTTTCCAATAAAATAAATAAATCTTTTTAAAAATAAAATGTATTTATTTGAAACACAGAGCAGTGGGGTTGGGGCTGGGTCAGCAGAAGGAAGGGAGGGGAAGGCACCCCACTGGCTGACACCCCATGGCGGGGGGCAGCTGAAGCCAGGAGCCCACCCTGCTCCCCCACACAGGTGGTGAAGGCCCGAGCACCTGGGCTGTCTGCATTGCCAGGGGGCTGCCGGCCTCATACTGACACTGATACAGGAGGCTAGTGCTGGAAGAGGAAGCTTAACACGCTACGCCTCCACGCCGGCTCCCATAGGTGCTGCCCGTCTCCTGGCCCACTCCACGTGCCTCAGCCACAGACCTGTGACCAAGTGGACGTGGCCTTCTACCCCCAAAGCTTCGTCCACTTCCACACCAGGCCCTCCTCAGCCAGAAGAGCCTAAACAAAGACCTGGACGTGGCGGGGCAGAGGGCAGCGGCCCCGACGGTGGCCTGGCCCACAGCACTGACCCCTCACCACCCTGCTACCCGTGTGTCGAGCACCTGTGGTTAGATCCAGCAGCAAGTGCTCCCAAGGCCTGTGAGCACCTCACTGGAGGTCCTGCCCACAGGATGCTGGCTCCACACAGCTCTGCAAGGGCAGGCAGCTGGCATGGAGAGACCAAGGGGCCCCAGCATGCCCTCAGGCCTGTGTCATCACACAGCATACACATGCTGGCCTGAGGGCCACAGCCGCTGTGGGTGTGTGACAGGACTTGGCTGAACATCTGCCATGCTAAGTTGATCGAAACACAAGTTCAGGGCCCGCGCGACAGCATAGTGGTTAAAGTTCTCGCCTTGCATGCACCAGGATCCCATATGGTTGCCAGTTCTAATACTCTCTGTCTCTCCTCCTCTCTGTATATCTGACTTTGTAATAAAGATAAATAAATCTTAAAATGAATAAATAAATAAATATAAAGAAACACAAGTTCAGAATTTAAATCGATCACCCAACTGCCACCCTAAGAGCCCAGAGAAAGGGAAACAGAACGAACCCACAGCAAGAGGGCAGAAGGATGGGCCCGGCGCGGTGGCGCAGTGGTTAAGGTCCTCGCCTTGCACGCCTGGGATCCCATATGGGCGCTGGTTCAATCCCGGCAGCCCCGCTTCCCTTCCAGCTCCCTGCCTGTGGCCTGGGAAAGCAGTCGAGGACGGCCCAAGGCTTTGGGACCCTGCACCCGCGTGGGAGACCCGGAAGAGGCTCCTAGCTTCAGATCGGCATAGCATCGGCTGTTGCGCTCACTTGGGGAGTGAAAATCATCGGAAGGAAGATCTTTCTCTCTGTCTCTCCTCTCTGTCTCTCCTCTCCAATAAAAATAAAAAATAAATCTAGAGTGAACAGTTTAAATAAAAGCCTGACTTAAAAAAAAAAAAAAGAGGGCAGATGGAAATAGTGACAGCAGAGCAGAAACCAAAAAAAACTAAATTAGAAAAATTACTGAAACAAAATGCTTGTGTCTTTGAAAAAAATCCTACATAAATAAGCCTCCAACAAGAATGAAAGGAAAAGAAAAAAGCAAAAAGAGACAGAAGACAGGTTAGCAGTCCAAGGAATGAAGAGCAGGGACCGTGACAGACCACGAAGACAGCCAAGGGGGCAGCTGACCAGGGCAGGGGCCAGGCGCCAGCTCCTCGGGGCTCACTGCCACGCACACAGCCCACCCGACACGCGAGACCAGCTCCACCAGCTGTGCAGCCAGCAGGAAGTGGGTTTCTAACAGCACAACTCCTGGGGACTCCATACTAACAGGGGATCTCTTCCAGAAAACACGGGAGGGGGGCAGCTCCCCAGTCCGTTGGCCGGAGCTCACGTCGGCCAGACCCCGTTCAGGCCAAGAAAGTACAAAAACCAGCCCGCGCCCGGCACCCCTTATGAATGAACCCGAGTCAGCTTAGCATCTTAGCAAACAGAATTCAGACAACACATTAAAAAACAATCATGTGCCATGGTCACGTGGAGTTTATTCCAGCAATGCTCGGCTCACCCAACACTAAAAATGGCGAGTAATCCCGCACTGTCTCCAACGAGAGGGCCGCGCGATCTCCCGTGTCGGTGTAGGGAAAGCACCTAACCCAGGATAATAACACCCTTCAGAACAACGGCAGTCCACAGAGTGCTTGGGGAAATAAAACCCTTACAGCCAGGCTCACTAGTGCAGGAAGACTGGAAGGTGCCCCTGGAGCCGCGAGCCAGGCAAGGACACCTGCTTGCAGGGCCAGGATGGTTGCAGAGCAGGCTAAGCCTCCTGCAAGCACCGGCCTTCCATCTGGGCCCGGCACCTCCACAGGAAGGGCTTCAGATCAACTCGGCTCTAGTCATTGTGGCTTCTTGGGGAGTGAACCAGTGATGAAACCTCCTCCTCTCTGAAAAATTTGCCTTTCAAGCAAATTATATGATTTATTTTATTATTTTTTTAATGGAAACTCAGATTTACAGAGAGAAAAGACAGAGAAAGGGATCTTCCATCTGCTGGTTCACTTCCTAAGTGGCCACAATGGCCAGAACTGAGCTGACCGAAAACCAGGATCCAGAAGCTTCTTCCAGGTCTCCCATACGGATGCAGGGTCCATCTTGTACTTTGGGCAATCTTGTACTACTTTCCAGGCCACAGGCAGAAAGATGGAAGGGAAGTGGAGCAGCTGGGACATAAACCGGCACCCACATGGATCCTGGCACATACAAGATGAGGACTTTAGCCACTAGACTATTGCACTGGGCTCAAAAATAAATAAATCTTAAAAAAAAATAAAGCAAAAGACAAGACTGTGTGTTTTAGCCAATGCAATAAAGCAAGAAAAAGAAATAAAAGGTATATTAGAGCCGAAGAGGAAAAAAAATGCAACTGCCCCTTTTTGCAGGTGACATGACTGGTAGGAAACCCTAAGGAATCTACTCAAAACCAAAACCAACACACCCATCCATGTAAGGTCATGGGACACAGGTTAAACCCAGGTGGCGGCTGTTGCAGCAGAGCCAGTTCAAGCCCTGGGTGCTGCTTCCAGCACAGCTCCCTCTACGGTGCCTGCGAGGCAGCACATAACAGCTTGGATCTTCAAGTCCTTGCCACCCGCCCACGGACGAGATGGCACCCCAGGCTTCTGCTTCGGCCTGGCCTCTGGCTACGTCAGAAGCAAACCAGCAAATGGACACGTGCTGCCCACTTTGCTCTCTCTACTCTCTTACCCATCACTCTGAAACTCATGACCTTTTTTCTTAAAAGAAGATGACAAATATGTTACCAAAAAACCAGTGGTATTTCAGTCTAGTGACATGAACATGCAGACAGCATTACTGGATAGAATACTTGTACAGAACTCTGGGAACTCCTGTCTGACATCACAGAAGGCCTGCACCCCACACTGCAGGGCCTGGGCCAGGCCCGGCTCCACTCAGGATCCAGTTTCCTGCGGACACAAACCCCGGACGCAGCAGATGGTGGCTCAAGTGCCTGGGAGGCCTCTCCTGAGCTCCCAGCTCCCACTCTGAGCTGGCCAGCCTGCTTGCTGTGAGCACCTGGGCAACGAGCCAGCAGAGCTGTCTCTGATTCTCTATCACTTGGCTTTTCAAATAAAAATAAGTTCCTAAAAGAAACAAAAATGTAATGAAAGCACACACACAGAACTTGGATGTCAAGCACTGCTAAGCCCGGAGGACAGGAGACGCAAGCCTGTGGGGACGTGGGCCAGGCTAGGAATTAGAAGACTCCACACAGCCAGGACAAGTCCACCCAAACTGACAGATGTAGGGGCTGCATGGGATTCCGGTCAAAACGACAAGATATTCCTACAGACAAGATGGGGCCAGTGTTGACTGGGCCCAGAGCACAGGGGCTGGGCAGAAGGCAGCACTGACACTCAGGGACCTGTGGGTACCTGGGATGGCACGGGCGAGTAGGGGCTCCCCGGCTCCCCACTCAGCAGGGTCTCACTGTTCATCTTGGTCTTGAGACACGCGATATAGCGGCTGCAGAAGTCCTTGCACAGCTCATTCACTTTCTCCAGCTCCAGGAGGTGGATGCGCAGCACCTGGATGGCCTTCACCATCTAGAGGTAAGGGGATGGGTCATCAGTGCCACCCACACCACCTGGCAAGCATGGGGGTCTGGCCACACCCCTCGCACGAGGGACCCAGTGCCAAGCTCTGAGGCAGAGCTGAGGGTGGCAGCCTCTGCCTGCAGACAGCTGGCTATGGCTGGGCCAGTCTCCCACCCTTGCTCAGCCCAGGCTCTGTACCCCCAGCTGGGGTAAACCTGTTTCTCACAAGCAAGCAGAGGGGGTACTGCTCACGATCAGCACATAAGTCATGCTGACTCCAGGAATTCTCCACTTCCGTGGGACAGCTCCAGAAACCCTGGGTCTGGAGCCCTGGAGCTGCAAAGCTACCCCAAGAGGGCCTTGGAGCAGCCCCTGGGGAAGGCGGGCACAGTCACAGCTCCGCGATCAAGCTCAAGTCAGCAAAGGGCAGTGTGTGCCTAGCAAGTGTGCCCAACGCTCGGCAGAGATGGGTCTCTCGGTGCCCGGCCTCAGCCCATCCGGAGCAGAGCCCGGGGTCTCTGGGGCACTCAGGACCCCCGCCGTGCCCCCTTGATGGTGCTGCACTCACCAAGTTGTCTGTCTCTGGGTCCTCACAGAAGAACGGCCTCCCCTCCTTTTCCTGCTTTCTGACGAAGTTCTCGATGTCCACGTCGAAGCTGGCCGACGTGGTGCCCTCGGAGCCCTGCGTGGACTGCTCGCACTTCTCAAAGAGTAGAGCCAACAGTGGGAACAGCGGGTGCCTGTGGGGACAAAGGACAAGCGTGTTGTTCCCTGGAGGCTGTGGCTTGTCTGTCCTGAGCTGGGACACTCGTGGCAGACTCAGCCACGTGGAGTACTCAGATCTGGACGACCACTGTCACGTGCCGGACACTGTCATCCCACCCCAAGATGGCCTTCCAGACCTGCGGTCACTTCTCCACACCCCAGCCCAGCACCAACCACGTCCCCTGCCCACTGCAGCATATAGGATTCTGGCACATGTAAGCTTATTTTACTAGGCATGTTTTCAAGGCTGCCAACATCGTCAAATATATCAGATTTCGTTTTAATTTAGGGGGGAAGATTATTTTAATTATAAGAGTTATGAGTTGGTGGTGGTAATGGTGTCTGTGTATGTTGTGTAGGCGGGTGGGGGAACAGAATCTTTCATCTGCTTGTTCACTCCCTAAATGGCTGCAACAGTCAGAGCTGAGCTGATCCAAAGCCAGGAACCAGGAGCTTCTCCCAGGTCTCCCACACGGGTGCAGGGTCCCAAGGCTTCGGGCCGTCCTCCACTGCTTTCCCAGGCCACAGGCAGGGAGCTGGACCTTAAGTGAAACAGCCAGGACAAAACTGACGCCCACATCGGATGCCAGAGCCAAGGTGGGAGCTTAGCCTAGTATACCATGGTGCTGGCCCTGCTTCTTTGTTTTTGAAAATGTATTTTATTTAAAAGCAGAGGAAGAGATGAACACCTCCCACGTGCTGGCAGAAGCCAGGAGCCAAGATGAAGCCTGTCTCCCACACCGCAGCAGGAACTCGAGCACTGGGCTGGCACCTGCTGCCTCCCGGTCATGGCAGGAAGCAGGACGGGAGGCGGAGCACCGGGCACAGCTGGCATGGAGCACAGGATGTCGGCACACGGACAAGGCTCTGTGGACCATGCCCGTTTCTGCTGGGAGCATGGGGAGGAGTGTGAACGCTGGGTCAAACACGGACTCGAGGGTTAGCCTTCGGGATGCAGCCAGGCCACTTTACAGAGTGGACACAAGGAAAATCAACCTTTTATTGCCACTGACCATATACATGGAGTGTAATTTCTTCCTATCAACACTTTTTATTTACATATTTTAAATTACAGTCATCTTAGTTGGTGTGAAGTGATGCATCTTTGGTATTCATTCATTCATTTTAAGATTTAGTAATTTTTATTTGAAAGGCAGATTTGAGAGAGAGAAGGTCTTTTTTTTAAAATTTTATTTTATTTTCATTACAAAGTCCGATATACAGAGAGGAGAGACAGAGAGATCTTTCGTCCAATGATTCACTCCCTAAGTGAGTGCAACGGCTGATGCTGCGCTGATCCAAAGCCAAGAGCCAGGAGCTCTTCCAGGTCTCCCACGCGGGTGCAGGGTCCCAAGGCTTTGGGCCATCCTCAACTGCTTTCCTGGGCCACAGGCAGGGAGCTGGGTGGGAAGTGGAGCATTTGGGATGTGAACTGGCGCCCATATGAAATGCTGGCATCACAGGATGAAAGATTATCCTGCTGTACCACTGTGTGGTTCCTGGTATTTAATTGCACAATGTATGAACACATCCCTCTTGGGGAAACATTGGCAGACATAAGTCCTCCCAGACTTCACACTGCAGTGTCTCATGTCCCTCCCGTGGCGATGACCACCGTTACTGCCGTGCAGCATCCTTACCAGAGGACACATGTCCACCAAGGGTCCTGCAAACAGGGCAGAGGACACATGTCCACCAAGGGTCCTGCAGACAGGGGCAGGGGAATGGCCATCTGCTCGAATCCTGAAATGGGAATCCTTGTGTTTCCCGTTTGCAGTGGGCCCCAAGGGTCACGTGGCTTGTGCCACTTGAGAGTAAGTCTGTGTCACTCTAGCACAGAACCTCCTACAGTGGGCCAGCTCGGCTCAATGACCTGCTAGGGATGGCTGCTCCAAGTCGGCCAGGGAGCTGTGCCCACGCTGCAGAAGCTGGCTGTGACGTGTGAAGCAAAGCCACCATCTGTGATGTTCGCTCACGTGCTGCCTGCTAGAATTCCCACGCGGCCCCGTGCTGACAGACAGATGGCCACCCGAGCGCGCGGGAGACGTGCCTGCAGCTCCCCTAGCGCTGCCTGCTCCGGGGTTGGCTGCTGTACTCATCGGGGAGAGAATTAGCAGATGGAAGCTTGCTTTCTCTCAAATGAATAATTCTATATAAGAAACTCAAAAAAGTTAGTAGGGCCATACGACACAACAGGGTTAAGCCTTAGGAAATTATGTTAAGTCATGAAAAAAAACTAATGTTATACAGTGTATGTCAAAAAGTTCTTGGAAAGGGGAATTTGGAAAAGTTTATTGGAGTGCAAACATTTTATTGAAACTTACGCACAGCAAGGGTTTTTAAAAAGTCGGAGTACTGGGCCCGGCGCGGTGGCACAGTGGTTAAAGGTCCTCGCCTTGCATGCCCGGGATCCCATATGGGCGCCGGTTCTAATCCCGGCAGCCCCGCTTCCCTTCCAGCTCCCTGCCTGTGGCCTGGGAAAGCAGTCGAGGACGGCCCAAAGCTTTGGGAACCTGCACCCGCGTGGGAGACCCGGAAAAGGCTCCTGGCTTCGGATCGGCATAGTATCGGCCCGTTGTGCTCACTTGGGGAGTGAATCATCGGACGGAAGATCTTCCTCTCTGTCTCTCCTCTCTGTATATCCGCCTTTCCAATAAAAAAATAATAAAAAATAAATCTTTAAAAAAAAAAAAAAGTCGGAGTACTCCAATACTTTGCGCTTTGTGAGTATCTGGCTCATCTCATTTTACGTCCTTTTCCTTTTAAAAAAATATTTATTTTTATTGGAAAGGTAGATTAGATTCATGGAGAGGAAGATCTTCCATCTGCAGGTTTACTCCCCAAGCAGCAGCAGCAATGGCCAGAGCTGAGCCGGTCAAAAGCCAGGAGCCAGGAGCTCTTGCGGTCCCACGCGGGTCCCAAGGCTGTGGGCCATCCTGGACTGCCTTCCCAGGCCACAGGCAGGGAGCTGCATGGGAAGCGGAGCAGCCGGGACATGACCTAGCGCCCATACGGGATCCCAGCACTTGCAAGGTTGAGTATTTAGCCAACTGAGCCACTGCACTGGGCCCACTTTTTTTTCTCTTCTCTTTTTAATTAGTTTTTTTTAAATCTTTTCTTACATTCTAAGATGAAAACTTATCATTAACAGAGGAACAGATAAACAAATGTAGTTAGAACATTCAGTGGAGTTTTAATCAAGCTAAAGCTACAATGTGAACGAGCTTTCAGGACACTGCGCCACGGGAAACAAGCCAGACACAAAAGACAAACACTTTGTGATCCCACTTGTACGAGCCATCTGGGAAAATCGAACCAGAGGCTGGGGCAGTAGTGTCTAGCGGGTACAAAGTCCCATTTGGGGGGGCTGACCAAGAAGGTTCCAGAGCACACAGTGCTGACTTCACATTGAGCTGCACAGCTGGAAACAGGGAGAATGTTGAAGTTTTAGTCAAATAGCCACTCACAGTTATACATACACACACACACACAGGACAGTGTACAGGTGCACGTAGCTCTCACTCCTCCAGGGAGCACCTGCACTGGGGCTGTGTGCACGTAGCTCTCACTCCTCCAGGGAGCACCTGCACTGGGGCTGTGTGCACATAGCTCTCACTCCTCCAGGGAGCACCTGCACTGGGGCTGTGTGCATGTAGCTCTCACTCCTCCAGGGAGCACCTGCACTGGGGCTGTGTGCACGTAGCTCTCACTCCTCCAGGGAGCACCTGCACTGGGGCTGTGTGCATGTACTTGCTCACTCCTCCAGGGAGCACCTGCACTGGGGGTTGCTGAGCCACAGGAAGAGTAGACAGGCCTGTGGCTGGAGACCTGTCTCTCAGGTCCCAGGTTGGTCCCAGGCCACGGCTTCCCCCTCACGCCATGCTTGGGGGTCGTGCCCTGCCGTGGCTGTTGCCTGCATCCCCCTCATGACTGGCTTTTCACGTGGTTTTCACCATCTGGGCTTCGTTCTGGGGAAGCGTTTGTTTTGGTTTTTGCTGTGGTACACTCTGTGCTGAGCAGGGGAGTTTTTAGGCACCGTGGATACATCCTGGCTGAGCACGTCATCTACATGGTTTCCATTCCTCCTCCGCACTGGTCTTTTCATTCTCATAACATATTACAGCAAAAGTTTCAAATTTAAATAGATCCAATTTATCGATATTTCTGGTAACTAAATACCCTCTCCCTCCTCCCTTTGCGACAGAGACAGTTTGGAATGTGACATCTGGGAGCAGCCATGTGGCAGAGAGGTTCCACTGCTGTTGGGGGACTGCATCCCAGCTGGGAATGGGAGTCCACTCCAGCTCGTGCCCCTGCTTCTGGCTGTGGCCCCAGGAGGCAGCAGCTAACGGGTCCCACCACCCACAAGAGGCCTCAATGGATTCTGGGATCCAGGCTACAGCTGAGTCCAGTCCCGACTGGAGTAGACACTTGGGCAAAGAACCAGCAGATAAAAGAGTTCTTATTCTTTTAAATGCATGGATAATAAAATAACTTTAAATTTAAATAAAATGCCACATTCCGACTTAGAATATGTTAGAATCCTCTGTGTAAGGCAGCGGGCAGGCTGCGGCTCCTATCCCACTCAGCCTGGCTAACAGCTCCAGTGGCCACCTAGCTCCTCACACCACAGCCCCTCTGGAAGGTGTGGCCTTTGGCCCAAGCACTACCTGTAAATGGCCTGCTTGTCCGCGTCCATGGGGGTCTGGGGCTCCACCGCAGGGGGGCTCACCCCTTCCGCATCTGGCTCAGAGCAGGTGGGTTCTTGCTCAGTTTTTAACTCTGTCACTACTTGCACCTGTAAAAAAAGAAAAAAGGATACTCCCTATTACCGAAAACAAAACACTGACCATTCTGTGTCACATCGTCCTAGAGGACATGGCTACCGTGTGTCCTGTTCTCCAAGAAGCACAGATCAGAACGTCAACCTGCCAGAGGGATGGACAGCCACACCAAACTGCTTTATTGGAACATACTTTCTAAATAGACAAAAATCAAAGTTCCAGACTGTTCAGGAAACAGCATGACTGATGTATGTGTGACGTCTCTTCCTCAACTCCTAACAACTACAGGCCATGAAGGTAACCACACAAAGGCCATCTGGTCCCTCTCTCCCTGCTACATGTCACATTAATAATACTGCAGTGGAACAGGAATAAACAAATAGGCCCAGCTCTTCATACTGCAAACAAACAACTCAGACCCACTGTGCTACACATTCAAGACAGGACCCAAATCACTCCCACAGCACACGGCCTCTGCCTTGGGAGCACAGACAGCTGGGACACACCAAGTGTCCCCACCTCCACAGAGAGCAGCTGAGTGCACACAACACCTGCAAGACGTTCTCACTGCAGCCACTCCCAAGAAGCTGAGTGCGTGTCCCTTACACTAAAGGCATTGAAATCCTTATGCACAAAACAAGAAAGGAAAAGAAGGAAGGAGAGGGGAGGGGAGGGGAGGGAAGTGAAAGCTGCAGACAACCTGTAGTTATAAAGGGCCCGGCGGACTGCAGCTTCTCCAGGGCCAAGTCCTGCCTCGTGGGACAGAGCTGGCCAGCCACGTGTCCTTCAAGGACGGGGCTGGGAGAGCTCGGGAGGTGTCTAGTCGGGGTGCCTGCCCCTCCCTCTGCTCGCCTCCTCCGTGTGTGTCATCCTCATGCAGGCCTGTACTCGTCTCTGTACCACTCCAACCGTAGCATGCGTGACTGAGCACTCTCTCCAGCAGGACGACTCCCGCAGGCCTTCAGATGGCACAACGTCCATGCGACATTACAAGACCAAGCCACAAAAGCACAGATGGCGTCTTTGCAGCAGCGGTCTGGCCCGGTGTGTAAGAAGGCCGTCATGGTGTTCTCTCTTCGCCTTAATGACTGAGACAGACCTCAGTGCTGGAGAAGGGCTGGTGGGGTACATCTCACCAAACATTCGGTTAAGCTGATGCTCAGCAATGCTGCCCAGGCTCTGGACAGGCATGACTATGGGAGAGACCGGGAACATAGCCTGGGCCACAGCTGCCCGCACTGCTCCTTCAGAGAACCCTCCATGCCAGCAAGCCTGGCACTGGGGCAGCAGCAGAGGGCAGAGGCCCCAGGAAGGGTCAGTGACCCCCAGCAGGTGGAGGCCCCAGGAGGGGCCAGGCCCTACAGGCCCAGGGCCCCCAGGAATTGGGAGAGATCTGGCAGTGGGGGGGGGGGGGGGGGGGGAGGGAGCTATTAGATTTGATTTTAGAAATGGAAAAAATCACTCAGTAATTCCAGAAGCAAAGGAAGCAGAAAGCACAGAATTCGCCCTCCCAGTTGTAGCAACAAAGAACAAAACCTTCTTCCAACCCGTGTATCAACAAAGCACCAGCTACAACAGGAAGCAGACAGGACTGGTGCCAAGACGACCCCTAAGCAGAGGGAATAGCAGCCCCCAGGGTCGTGGCCCTCCGCTCCAGTCCTGAGCAATGTGACTGTGGGGGTCTGTGCAGTGGATGTGGGGAACAGGAAGGTGTGAAGGGTATTGTTCCATTGCAGGCAGGGTCGCAAGGAACTTCCCGCTGTTTGGCAGGGCCCAGAGGATGTCTCTACAACCACCTGGATGCAGCTCCACCTTCTTTTGCATTGAACACCAGACCACCCTACAGAAGAACTCTAATCCATCCAGGCATTGTTTGCTGCTGTGAGGCTGGCCTTCTACTCAGTGTGGGCTTGGAGGTTAATGTCAATAATAACGTCTTACAAAAGGGCCTTCTATTATTCCCACTGTCTTGGCTGTCCCCATTGACCTTATGCTAATCAAGGGACCTGTATTTAGGCTTTCGTTCTTTCCTTGATCTTTAGGTTCTCCTTTTCTTTGTGATACAAGATTGAGTAGTAGAATAAGAATTGTAGCAGGAACTTCTATTGTTTTTAGGTAAAACAAACTGCAGAATTATCCTTAGAAACACCCACTTGACCATGATGTAAAGAGTCTGAGCCAGAGTTTGACTGGATCTGTATAAATAAAGTGGACAGCTTTATTGCATTGTCCATTATGATGATGAAATCCTAGTGGTCTGTCTTTCTTTCCTCTTTGTGCCTCATCCACACCCCCTTCTCGAGTTCCGAACCCAGCTGGAGCTGGACTCCGGCAAGTGGCGCCCAACGTGGGGCTCAACAAAGGTAGATCTTTTCTCTCTTGTTCTTTGTGGTGTGGATAGGACTTCACCCAGGGTGCTGCAGGCCCCCTGACAGGAGGGGTGAATAGTCAGAACTTATATGGCGAAGTTGTGTACCCTCTGTGCTGTAAAAATGGGCCAGAGCGATTCTAGTGAAAGAAGTTTATATGCTGATATTAAACATACCTTACATAGGAACAGCATTAAAGTTAGCAAGAAGCAATTATTAGAATTTTCATAATTTGTACAGAAAGTTAGCCCGTGGTTTATTGAGCAGGGCACTTTAGATTTAAACACATGGGACCAAGTAGGGAATGATATGAAAAGGTGGTATAGAAGCAATGGACGAGTGGGCATGCCATCCTCTGCATACGCCATTTGGAATGTTTTGCGGCAGGTACTGGATGTGGGACCTGAGCCTTATCCCACGTCTTCAACTCAGTGGAGAGAACATATTCCCCTTCTTGATCCTGAGAAGGGAGGCTTAAGCTTTAGTTATGGCTCAGTTGAAAGTGTCTGTCCTGGACAAAGTTTCTTTGGAGATCTCCCCAATCAAAATGCTGGACTCGGAACCCCAACCAAGAAAAGAGAGAAGACAGAACAGGTCAACCAACCATCTCAGCTATATCTTGGCAGCGAAATATGGGGCAAACAGAGACTCTATGATGGATTAGGTCAATCAGTGGATTCTTCAAAGACCTCATGGTGCTTGGAGTGGCAAGATTGGCAGCGATTCATAACTGTTGAAATATCAAAACGACTTGAGCAAGAACCTCAGAGCATGCCCTACATCCAGGACCTGGGGAGGGTGTGAGATTGGGTGGGCCTTCTCTCTTAATACCACCTTTTAACATGAATGAAACAATATGGAAAAATAATAGTCTTACCCAGGTTCCTGTAGCCCTTGAACCTTTTTACCCTAATTAACTATTATACAATTAAAAAAAATTAAAAGAAAAAAAATGTGTCTGTCCTGAAGATAATGTAAAATATTGTAAAACTGATCAGGAAGGTTTAACAGATGAGGAGGATTTTTTAAAACCAGAAATACTTACATTAGGAGTTAGAGATTGTGGAAAGGGGCAAATGGCCGAGTTACATGATAATAGGTCTCCAGCTGTTGATGATAAGCCTTGTGAGCCCCTTCCAGCTAGACCAGATCCAGCAAAGATTGGCTTTAAAGTGGCAATGCAGCAGGCACATAAGGAAGGTGATTTTTTTTTGTTTTCCTGTTGTCTATGAATGGGATGAACCTGAATGGGAACCGTTGCCTTATAAGCTTATTAAAGAACTAAAGCATACTGTCGGGTCCGGCGCGATGGCACAGTGGTTAAGGTCCTCGCCTTGCACACCCGGGAACCCATATGGGCGCCGGTTCTATCCCAGCAGCCCCGCTTCCCATCCAGCTCCCCGCCTGTGGCCCAGGAAAGCAGTAGGCCCAAAGCCTTGGGACCCTGCACCCATGTGGGAGACCCGGAAGAGGCTCCTGGCTCCAGATCGGCATAGCATCGGCCGTTGCGCTCACTTGGGGAGTGAATCATCGGATGGAAGATCTTCCTCTCTGTCTCTCCTCTCTGTATATCCGCCTTTCCAATAGAAAAAAAAAAAAAAGCATGCTGTCTCTGACTACGGGCCAAACTCCCTGTACACTATGACAATGGTGGAGGGACTAGCAGCAAAGTGCATGACTCCTTATGATTGGTTTCAGGTTGCTAAGGCTTGCTTCACAGGACGAAACTTCCTTTTGTGGTAAGTGGAATATGAGGAATTAGCTGAGGTGGAAATAAAGTCTCGGGGATCTGTGAGGCATGGCAAACCTTCTCTTACCTTAGACATGCTTTTAGGACAGGGCACTCATCTTGGCGTTTCAGAACAACTTACTCTGCCTAAGGAGACATTACAGCTTATCTCCTCCCTGGCATTAGGAGCATGGAGACGCCTGCCATCTCCAGATCAAAAGTCTCCAGGTTTTGTAAATGTTAAGCAGAAGCCTGAGGAGCCTTTTGAAGATTTTGTAGCTAGACTCACCGAGGCCGTGAGCTGGACGGTAATTAACAATACAGCTACAGATCTCATACTTAAACAGCTAGCTTTTGAAAACGCTACTCCAACTTGCCAAACCTTAATTCAGCCAGTGAGAAGGACAGATTTGTAAGACTATGTTAGAGCTTGTGATGAAGTAACTCCATCTTACATGCAAGGGTTAACTATTGCTGCAGCTCTTCAAGGTCAAACTGCCATTCAGATTTTAAAGAACATAAGAGGCAATCAAAGAAATAAAAAAAAAAAAAACAGTTGCTATTCTTGTGGTGGAGTAGGGCATTTCAGCCACAGCTGTCCTGCCAGAAACTCATCCCAAAATTTCAAGCAGGAAGAAACTTATAGGGACACTCCTAAACCTGATTTAAATGTTCCTCTCACTTTCTGTCCACGGTGTGAGAAGGGATTTCATTGGCAAAAAGCTTGTCATTGATACTGTCTCAACCCAGATGTTTCGAAGAATGGAACTTGCATTATTTTTAACATATTGTTTACCCAATACCATGCCAATTAATTTCATAATGTTGTATATTGATACTGAAGCCTTGTTGGGGCTTTTAACTAACCGGATCTTTACTCTGTTAGACCTATCTTCAGACCATAGAAGGTCTCCCC